GACAGCTACAGGCTAGCACCCAAATCAAACCCGAGTGTGTGGTTTATTTGTGTTTTGTTTTTATCCGCGGAGTTGCAGTCTTGTAAACATCGAAAGTATGACTGAAACTAATAGATTGGAGCCATTTTTTGGGTTGTTTTGTTGTATAACATTTAACTTATATGCGAATGTTGTACACCTACCCATTACAAACTTTCAAGACTATCAATGTTATAAAATGACCAACTTCTAAAAACAAATGTATAGTTGTCTTTGTAAAGAATTGCTCGCTTATATATAATGCCGAAGTCACATTTCAATGTCTTTGGAAAGCAAGAAAAAACACAAAATGACTTAAGCAATTATGCTATGAGGCTAACCATATGTAGCTTTGGAGCTGCTGCTGTGACACTGTACAAACACTTCCAGTGTGAATACTCTCGCGCGTCTGTAGTTACGCTGACGCGCTGCTCAAATGCCGCTCACGCTTGCGGTGTGAAACCGATGTGTGAAACGGCCGTAAGGCTGCATCGAAAGGTAACTTCGCGTCTGCTGCCATGTTTGATCCATAGGTATAAACAAACTGCAATCGATGTGTCGCATAGACGCGTCATCGTCTTGCTGCTCCCTCCCCGTTCTGTGATTGGTTCCCTAAATGAGGCGAAAATTTAGTCCATGGTATCCATACTGCCTTTCAGCGTGAATAAAATCGCGCTGCGGAAAGGCAGCATGGGGAAACCCAGACTAGAATTTTGCTGGACTTTTTTGAATATTTTGTTTATTATCTGTTTTGTTTGTTATTTTGGGCATTGGGTCTTCCTGAAGATTATACACCCATGGGTTTATGTTACTCTGGAAATACTCAATTTTACATATGTTTATTTTCCTCATCTTAATTAAACGTTTATCTTTTTCTTGAATTTTGGACTCATTGGTATCTTTTGGTCTGACGACTGGGTGTGGGAGTCATGTCTATTTTCTTCTATTACGATTTAACATAGATGGATCGTAATAGTTAGTCACTCAATTAATTATCTTGTGCTTCGTTCCCACCCTTCTGAATTATGTTCCATTGATAAGGAGTTATCATAAACTACGATTGTTTAGTTGTGCTATCTTACAATCAGTATAAATGTATGGAGTCGCCGATGTATCGGTTAAAACTTGAAGTGGCTATGAGGTCTTAAAATGTGTGGCAGGGGTCTTAAAAAAGGTCTTAAAAATTAAAAAGGTATTAAAGGGGTCATATAATGGTACATGCACTTTTACAAGTAGATTGTACTGAAATGTGTGTTGGCAGTGCCTGTACACAACCATCATAAAATGATAAAAATCCACCCAGTGTTTTTGTTTTAATCTCCTTATATGTTTTCCCCTGTCTCAAATCGAGCCGTTTGAGCGTGTGAGGTCACACGGTCGGACGCCCCTCCCACGATTGTCGATTGACAGCAGCGATTCAACACAGACCCGCCCTCGCTCGTGAGCGAGCTGTCAATCATAGTCTGCGCGGACCGGCGCAGTCATTGTTGATATGCTGGAGCACTGTCTATGAGCAGAATGGCGTCTAAGCGATTGTGGTGTTCTGTTCTTGGGTGTAATAACGAACACAGCAGTCATTTTAATGTTCCTAAATCCGAACCGCTGAAGACGCAGTGGCAGAGTTTGTTTTCGAAGGGAATATTCCCCACGAGCAACGTCAATGCTTTCATGTTTGCGCAAATAATTTCTCACCAGACTGCTTTATAAACGAGGGTCAGTATGAGCTGGTTTTGCTAAGAAGCTGCTCATGAAAAAAGGATCGGTACCAGCTATTCGTGTTCCTGCTGAACCTCTAGAACAACTGAAGTGAGTGTAATGTTTTATTAAACTTTATATTAATATTTTTTTTGTATTAACCTTTGCAAATCGCTAGCTTCAAGCTTCACAATGAATGCGTCTAAGGTTTACACTTAGGGTACATTACGGCATGTTTTCTATGTATGATGTTCTCAATATAATTCATAATCCCACATTTATACTGAACAACGCGTTATGGTTATTGTGTTACAAACGGTGTACGCACAGAACAGAGGGGCGGGGTGAGCAAAGATCATTATCATTTAAAGTCATATGCACTGAAACAGCGTGCTGAAAACAGAGCTGTTTTTGACCAAGTAAAATAAGTGTTTTCTTACAAAACTAATGAGAATTTTTAATTAAAGTATATTACAAACTTTTAATTTAGACCCTAAAGAATCATACTAGCTTGTACAAAAATGGCATTATATGACCCCTTTAAATTTAATTCCGTGATTCCTGTATATACCCTGTTGGAGAAACCGTCTGTACCATGGCTCAGTACATAGACACGCTGTGGCTGAATGGATCTTCCCTTACCATCTGTGAAGTTTTTGTCACAAACCCCGAGACAGATGTGATGGAGGATGGCACAGGCTGTGATGACCTGAAATGATAAAAAAAAATGATATCCTCTGAAAAATTGGCATGGGTACCCTCCGTATAGGGGTAAACTGGCATGGGTACCCTCCGTATAGGTGTAAACTGCCAGGATACACTGACCTCCTGTACAGTGGGCTATAGCGGAGCACTCGTGCGCCATGCACTGACCCGGGCCCACGAAGGGGTCTCTGTGTCTGGCCAGCCCTGGAAACCCACGGCAAACTACCTCCAGGTCCTCTGTGGTGTTCGGGAAGTGAATGACTTGGTGGCGAATAGCCACCACCTCCTCAGCAACTCGGTGGACAGTGGAACCGGACATGTCAAACACTCCGGAGACGCGACCCTGTATGATGTACCACACGCCAGTCAGAAAAGAAAGACCAGGGTCTCAATTGTGGCAGCCCATCCATGTCGCCGTTCACTTCTCAACAGGTCCAGCAGCCGAAAATCATCATTGAAAAACCTGTCCAGCACTGGGACGTTCAGATTTATCCTGCAGTACAGGGGTCTGGTCTGATTTAGGGAAACAAAAAAGCAGATTGTGTAGAGCTATATGATAAAGTAATTGGTGGAAGAAATTTTGAGGTACTTTAGAGAAGCTACTTTTATTAACTACCAATGCCATATTGGGGAAAACCTAATAGTCATATTTAAAACCTTACTTAAGTAAAAGTGTTATCTTGCATACTCTAATGTACTTAAGGTATCAAGAGTAAAAGTAAAGGTGTGTATTCTGCAGAACAAAACCCCTTGTCAGGGTTTTTATATGGTTTTGCATTAATATTACAGCGTCACTACTGTGTATGTTACATTTTACTTCTGAATATGTTCATGGTTGTTAAATTTAAAGTATGTTATATACTGTTGGGTTGTTTAATGTACAACAATGCATCATATTGTAAAAGACCATGTTTTTGTAGTGTTGCTGTCCTGTGCTGTCCTGTGTCCTGTCCTGTGTCCTGTGTCCTGTGTCCTGTGAGATCTGTATGTGAATACTTAACAAATGTACTTCCTTACAGTCCACCACTGGTGCGTCCCAACTCCCATATCAAAGGCTGCATCCGAAAGACTTGGACCGGTCAGCCCAACGGAGGACTATTCTTGTTGCACGTGAGCCACGACGGGACATTCTACCAAACTAAACTGTGCGAGATCTTGTACAGAAACAAACATGGATGTCAACAGACTGTTTCCTATTTGCAGTGCAATTTGTGCAGAAAAAAAAACTGGAAAAACAATGCCAACAACACTTGGTGGTTTTACTTATGAAACGTTAAACATAACTTGAATTAATTTTATATATATATATATTTTACAAATGTAATGTTTGTGTCTACATTAGGCTATAGTTAAATTAATATATTCAGAAACAAGGGCAGTTATATAGCCTACATAAGCTACCATTTTACATTTTCTGTTTAACTTTTATTAGACTCCAGGTCGAAATAAAAGAATACTTAATATTATTTTTAAAATGAGAGGAATCCCTTATATTGGAACACCAGTATATTACGACACCCCTAATCCAAACACAGTTTCTCCCCTAACAAATGCTTAATTTGGAATAATAAAGACAATAAAGACAATAAAGACAAAAGACTCTTTTTAGTTAATTGGATTAGTTATTTTGTTGGTTTCACAACTTTTGAACAGTAATGGTCATTTGCTTACTTATTCAGAATTTTTAGGAAAATTTAATTTTATGTACCTGTCAAGGAGTGCATGAAGAGTGGAGATTTGTCAAATTATTCTAAGATGGTTATTATTTAAAAAAAATTTGTCTTTTAAATTTATACCTTCCAATTTAAGTCTGGATTAAGTTCAATTTTCTATATAGTTTTCTAGCAATATACATTCTGAGGGAATGACATTAATCACCATAATGCCATCATTTGAAATCTTAGTCTTAAATTGGAAGGTATAAATTTGAAAGACAAAAAAAAATGTAATAATAATTATCTTAGAACAGTTTGCCAAATCTCCACTGTTCCTTTAGCCATTGGATTTTGGAGATCAAAATTTTAGGATGTCAATTGGAAAGAGACCTTTAAAATCTTTAGATGCTTTTGTATAACTAATACAATTAGGGAGGTATCATTAAAGAATGCTCACCGGGTTTATCCTGTAAAAGTTTGCAAAGTTGTGTAAAGATATCAACTTGAAATGTGTTCATTTATTTTATGAATGTATTTCCACAAAATTATTTTTGTGTGATTTTGGTGTTTAAAAATAATACAAATAGGCCTATTGTAATACAACTCTCAGAAAAATATATTTTCTTTTTTTATAATAATAATGTTGACTTTAAAATGTGGTATATTGTAAACTTACCTAGTATTTATGAAAAGTGTGTATTACTTTATTATAGAAATTTTTTTCTCTGTTTTTAATTTTTCTTTTTATTATCATTGTATTTGTTTCTTCTACTATTTGATTTGAGCTAACTGATGTTATTATTGCCTTTCTATGTTCAGTTTTCAAAAGATTGGAAGCAAGCAAATACATGCATTGTACATACATACTTTTGTTTTAGAAAGCAGCGTGTGAGCAGGACTTTTATTTTGACCTGGCGATATGACGTCGTAAGATTGCGCCGCGCTCCTACGTCTGTTTTGTTTTGGCTGAGGAAAGGTTTGTGGTTTTTCCAGCATTTAAGGTGTTTAAATCGATAAAAAAAAAACAATTCAGCCAAAAGTAAAGTTTTTACTAGCTATGTAAAATGAGGGAATTATTATTGAATATAATATTGCAATGCTTTAACTAACCAATTGTTTATTTTTGTGAGTAAAGCTCATCTGCACAGTAACAGAAAAGAAACAGAGAAGGTGCGTGTTATTTCGCTTATCCCTATGTCTGGTTATCGTAAACGAATTTGGCTACTGACATGTACTGATGAGAGAAAGGGAGCTTTTCGGAAGTCCGAGTCCACTTTAATCAATGCTTCGCAACATTAACACTTTTGAAGCACGCACGCTGACGACACATGCTGGTCAAACCATGTGTAATGACAACTTTTACGAACCAACAGCAAATATTTTGGTGGAAATATATTAAATGTAATCAATAAATACAAATATAAGTCATAAATTTGAACCGTCGCTGTATAGTTTGTTCTTTTATTAATTTGCAGAGCTAGTTTTGAGTGTTTTTTTGTCTAATCAGGTCATTTAAGATCATTGACCCACTCTGACTGACTCTTACCAGTGTGCTGACTACCGAACCATGGAGCTCCCTGAGATTTAGTTTTGATCTGTCTGTTCTTTCTTTTAATTATTCTCATCTTAATCATGACAGCGTGTCTAAACTCCTGGTGACGCAGCTGAGATCCATGTGACACTATTATAAAGATGGCGTTTATTAAAGAGGAGAGTGAAGACATCAGGATTGAAGAAGTATTCAGTGTGAAACAAGAAGATACTGAGGAACAAACAGGTTGGTTTCATTCTCAAAACTGAACTCTGTCAATTATCCCTTATTAAAATATTGACCTCTACAGAAATGAATGATATTTTTGAAAAAGTGTCATATGAGCAGTGGCGGCTGGTCAATAGGGGCGCTGCCCCCTTCAAGTTAGTCAGAGATGAAAGCTACATTAACAATGTTAAATATATCACAAATTAATTGTAGTCGCAGTTTTCGACTGTTAGTCATTAAAATTTATTTAAAAAAAATCTAAATTGTATTTCGTTCATATGTGTGTGGGACGCTGGCCAAATGAGTGTGCATGTACTAGGTCTGTAAACTTTTGAAAAGCATGTGACTTGAGGCTGAGCTCTAATTGTCTTGCGTCACATTGTCCTCGGGTCGCAGCGCCCTGCGCCACAGACCCTCTCACTTTTGATTTCAGCGAATCAATGTTGTTTTTATATTTTTAGCCTCATGTGATTGGACCGTTCTCAATGACTCCTATTCCCGCACAGTGGCTTGTCAATTGACTGGTACTGATCAATGTGGAAGCCAGCAAGCCCAATTTCTCTTTGAGATGAAAGAAAATTCCGTTTTATCTTTACAAAAATACCCTTTTACAAAGCGTTCACACAAAGAAAAAAAAAGGATCAAGGAGCTTGGACCAGATCAACCCAACTTGCAAATTCAGCAGCAGTCAAGTAATCGCGGGCGAATTTACACTCGGGCCTTCTCCAGCACTTCTTACGGCAAGCGGAGTTGGCTAGCTGGATGCAATATAAGTCATGCCTTTTATTGTTTTCCCTGTTTGCTGTTTCAAAATCCTGGCACTGAAACATCGTGGACAACGACAGGGGTACGTGACTTAAAACACCTCTCAGAAAAGTGCAAACGGCATGAAAGTAGCCGCAGCCATCTTGACAACGCTATGAGGCTACAGTTTATCGGGAAGCTTAGCATTGCTGAACAGCTAGATGAAGGCTACAGGATTGGCATTAGAAGACACAATGAGGAGGTCGCAAAAAATCGGCACATCCTTTCTAGAATAATAGACTGTGTGAAATTTTGCGGCGCGTTTGAGCTGGCTTTGCGTGGCCATGATGAGAGCGAGAGCTCGGATAATCCCGGGATATTCCGCGGCTTGGTGGATTTCGTTGCTTCCCTTGATGGAGTGTTGAAAGAGCACCTTGAGAATGGCACTTTGTTTAAGGGAACCTCGAAAATGGTGCAGGACGAGCTGTTGGACTGTATGTTGTCTGTCGTGAAGGAACACATAATCAAAGAAGCACAGAGCAGCGATTTTCTCTCCATCCAGGTCGACGAGACCACTGAAATCGCCACACAGTGCCAACTTGTGCTTGTGCTGCGCTACATTGATGCCAAAAGCAATGTCCAGGAGAGGTTTTTTGAGTTTATTCCACTGCATTCGGCTACAGCTGATTCCATCGCCACAGCACTGAAAGAGCGTCTCGCTGTCATCCTTCCTGAGGATCAGAGGGGTAAACTCATCTCCCAAGCATATGATGGAGCCAGTGTGATGAAGGGTGCCACTGCAGGTGTTCAGAAGAAGATACAAAATGTCTACCCAAATGCCCACTACATCCACTGCTACGCACATCAACTCAATGTAATAATACAACAAGCCACTTCTCACATACCCAAAGTGAGAATTTTTTTCTCTGACCTTGGAGGATTTGCCAGCTTTTTTTCGAGATCACCCAAGCGCACAGACGTTCTTGATAAAGCAGTGGCCCATCGACTACCAACTTCAAGCAATGTTAGGTGGAACTTTCACAGCTGTGCCGTCAATACCGTGTTCGAGCACAGGGAAGACCTCATCCGCTGCTTTGAAACCATACGAGACTCGGGTGACTTTGACCCTGTTACCGTCCGAGAGGCAGGAGCCTTTGCCATGCTGCTTGAGGATCAGGATTTTAAGTTCTTTCTGCAACTTTTCCACAACATCCTACCGCATGTGGAACTCCTCTTTACTCGACTCCAGAAGAAAGACATCGATTCGGCCCACATCAAGAGGAGCATCCAGCAGTTCCAGCAGGACATCGAGAAGATCAGGTAACAGCTATATTCCTCCTTTTGCGATTTTTGTTGTTATTATTATTATTTATAAATGTTCTTATTCCTTTGCAGGGATTCTCACCCTTCCCTGGTTGACCAACGCAGTGCAGGTGGTTCTCAAGCGAAGAGGCGCCGGTCGCTTATTCCAGAGGTCCATGAACGGATTGCAGCAGAGGTGAGTTTTATTGTAGTCCATATTACACTGGAGTATGGTTTTTATTTTATTTGTTTTATCTTGCACTCCAACATTTGAATTTTAGATAGTTTAGGCTACGTCTACATTAATCCGGATAGATTTGAAAACGGAGTATTCGATTCAAAACACTCTCCGTCCGTTTTCAAGTGTTTTCCAAAAGTTTCTCAAGTTTCTCAAACCCTCATAAAAGCTTACTGCGATGAAACAGACAGAACAAGACATAATGAAGTTATCATGCAATTCCTCTGGCAGGATCATTTTATTTAACAAAATATCTCACCATTCACTGATGCGTCCAGGTTGCTCTCATTCACCATATGTTTGGTCTAAAACGCAACTGCTCTCAAGTTTTGCCGCAGGAAAGCAAATGCGAGTGAATTTTCTGTCATCTTTGCAGGACTGTGATATGAAGAGTGTGCAAAGTAACATATTTTAGCAACTGTGTGAAAGTGAATAACACAAACTTACTTGCGCCATCGTTTTCAAATACCTCCTTACATGAGAGTGTAGGGGAATTTACTGAAACGCACATCTCTTCCTCAACAAAACATGGATAGTGTCAATATTAAAATGGCTCTCATTAATACTCGTTCAATATCGAACAAGTCTTTTATTCTTAATGACTTTTTTATACCACAATCTTTGGACCTCTTATTCATCACTGAGACGTGGCTGAACCCCAGTGAACAAATGGCTTTGGGGGATCTGACACCGCCAGGCTACGACTTTCTAAATTTCCCACGGATTTCAGGATGTGGCGCTGGTGTCGCTACTGTTTTTAAAAACTCTTTTAAATGCAGAATGCTGCCTATGGACACGTATTCCAGTTTTGAGGCCCAGTTGTTAAAAATCAACATATTGGGTCCTGTTTTCTGCGTACTCGTCTACAGACCTCCCAAATTAACCCTCTGGGCTTCTTCGTTTAGGGGTTACACTTAGCTTCCTCCCGGTCAAAAAAGACCAAAGCCTTAAAATGTAACTTTTTTTCCCCCCCAGGAAAATTTATTTATTATTATTTAAAATTTTTAACGATTATTATGATACTTTGCATTAATTATATAATTTTTATGAGCTATTTCTTCCATTTATAATTAATATATATATATTTTTAATTATTATTATAAAAAAAAAATGTCAATAAATGCAACATCTCACATCAAAATAGGGTGCAGGCTGCAGGCAAAAAAAAAATTCAAGTGAATAGAGCGCCATCCAGTGTCTTTAAAAATATATAAATGTGTGTAATGTCCTTAAGGGCCTGTAGGCTGCCTATAGCTTCCTATATATAAATACATAGAAAGGCTTTTTGATTCCTATTGTTGTTTTAGACATGATTTCTTTATCTTATTCGTTTTTTTATTTCGATATATATTTAGATATTCTAAAAGACTACTTTTTAATTTTTTTTAACATTTTTTTTAGATGAGTATCAGGTTTTGCATTATGATTGATTACAATCAAACAATAACAGTTGGTTAGAAAGGGAACACAATGCAAACATTTTTGTTACTCAGTATTTGATCATTAAAAAATCTAACAAAATAAGGTATGGATAGTGATAATTCAAAACACTTTATACAGACATTTTGCAATTAATTGGTATTTTAATTCTATAAATGGTAATAAAATAAAAACATCAGAAGGGAACAGCAATTATGATCGATCAGCAAAAACATAAAATAAAAACAGCAAACAATCATAGGAATAAAAATGTAATAATAATAAACATTATTTTAACTATATACATACAAACTGTAATTATTTTATTTATTGTTGCATATGGAATAGATATCAGGAACTCATATTATCCTAAATAAGAACAAACAATAATTATCAAACAGTGAATTCATCAGTAAATTGAAGAAAAATAATAAAAATGTAATAATAATAATAAATATTATTTGAACTATATACATACAATCTGTAGCCTAATTATTTTTCTCATTACTGCAGATGCAACAGATAGTGATAAAGTGTCTCTTGCACACAGGAAGTTTGCAATTTTGGCAGATATTTCTAGTTTTCACATCCTCCGGCCTGCACAATAGGGCTTTGACTTTTGCCCAAAAATCATATTCGAAGCTTGTTTGTTTATTAATATTAATATTCAAATATTTATTAATAATATTTTGAGTTTTGACCATTTAATGCCTCAGTAAGACCTATTTTGGTATCTTTATTTAAGTTTATTTAAGTCTTACTTATTAAGGTAAGTAAGACCTAAATTTAATTTGTATATGTTCTGTCCACCAGAGGGCAGTGTATCACTCAATGTCAATAGGCAAGCAATGATGTTTTCACAAGAAAAAAACAAACTGTCACGATTGTTTAAAAAAAAAAATTGTATTATCATTTATCATCAGACCCTGGAAACACAAACAGTATGCACAGCAATATGTGAGCGTAACAGATTGTTTCGTTTACATGTTCTATCAGCCAGCCATTACTGACACATTGTTTAGCGATCTGACTGCAATTACCAATAGAACAAGGCACTTTGAGATGTAAATCGAACACTCGGGATGCATATCCTACAGGTTACAAACCCGTGGGAACGGATTGCGAAAGCATAGGCAAGGTTTATGAATTTGTGGATACAGATTGCAAAAACTGAAGGCACAAATCTGAGAGGGCGGATTAGAAACTTGTGGGTACGGTTTAGATTCTGTGGGCACGATTTGTTAAACCGAGGGAACAGTTTGAGAATTCGTGAGTACAGTTTATATACGGGCGGATGGAAAGCAAAACCATTGCCACGGATTGTTTTTTTGTTTCTCCCCAATCTCGATCGATCATGTAGATTAGAACACTTCGAATTAGAACTCGCCATTATGGGCTTTCTGGCTGGCTGTGAGAGAAACAAAAAAACAATCCGAAAAAAAAGACAAGGTGATTCACATTTTCTGGCTCTAGAGAAGAGCGTTGCTTTGTGACTATATTCCCCGCGCTGGAAAACACTCGTTCGGCCCTCACAGATGTCCCGCATATTGCCAGGTAGCCGCGTGCCAGCTTGGCGAGATGGGGGTACTTGGGGTTTCTCTCCTTCCACCAGGACAGCGGGTTGCTGTCAGACGGGGGCGGGTGCTCACGTTCGTAGGCCATCATTTTAAGCAGGGCTCTAGAGTGCGACCAATTTGGTCGCACATGCGACCAAAATTTGTAAGAGTGCGACAAGAATTATTCGTAGGTCGCACCAGTGCACCTAACGTTCTCACATGATCGCATCCGCTGTCTCTCCACAAACGAGTCTTTTGTTCTCCTTGCACGCATGGTTGGATCATGTCGTGGTCTAAACCAATCAGAGATAGAGATTGGGCGGGTCTTTGCCTCTGATTGGCTGTGGTTCAGATATTCCTGTAGGACTAAAATGCTCCGTGCTGACTGTGTGATTGAAATAAATTGCGACCTGTCACCTGAGCACCAGAGAATCAGTTACGGCAATCAGCAGCATCAGCTAAATAAACGCAGGAAAACAGACGACGAAGAAACTTTTAAAAATGTAGGCTACTTGAACTAGGTAAAAAATATTGATTTCTCGATTTTAATCGATTCTCATTGATTTTTACGAACCGTTGGGCTATGCTGTTTTCAGTTGATGAATGGAACATTGTAGCGAGCATCCCATCCAATACATCGCAATAATCTTTGTGCTTTGTTACTATTGATATGAAACAAAGTCTCAGATTTCAAATTAGGCCCATTTTCTTACGAAATTCAAAAACATAAATAGTGTTTTGGCGCTGTGGCGTGAGATCGCTCTGGCCAACAAGCAGCGCGGAGCGCACATGATCTCCTCTTCCGCCTTAATAATACCAGTTACAGCGCGAAATAAACATGAACGAGCATTTGAAAGTGTGTTGAAAGATAGAGTACAACTTATCGAAATCCGTATCATTCGCATGGAATCGCTCAATCAGTGTTTCAACCGTGGAAAGACGTCAGTAAAACAATTGTAAACAATGTAATGTAAGGTCACATTTACCTAAAAAAAAAAACATATCCATTGACCATAAACTCGTTAGCTAGCTAGAAAAATTAACTCTAGAGGAGCATTGTGCCTAATATATGCACCATATTACATATGCATTATAATTTTTAATGTTTTTCAATATTTAATGCATGTTGGTTGAAAAAAATCTTGCAAGTTTTTATGCAGCCACCATTTAAAAGTTTATATTTCATATAACTTTTTTATTATTATAAAAAAAAAAAAAAAGTGTAATTTAAGTGTTTGTGTACAAATCAGGTAATTTTTACCTTCAATATTAGTAGGCTAATGAAGCATAGTGGGCTACAACTGACTCCCAGTTTACAGCATTAGTTGAGATTTGTTTTTCTTAAAGAAATTTTGCCATGTATTGTACCTGATATCCAAAATAATCAATATTGAATCGAATTGTGAAATTTGTGTCAATACCCTGCCCTAACTTGAACAATGTAAAAACAGCACTTTTTTTTTTTTTTTTTTAAGATTTATATTTTTATATACAGTGTAATTGTGCTTCAAATATAAATAAAAAAACTACTCCTTATTCTTGTTTAAAAGCATTTACATAATATATATGAATATATGGAGCATGATAAAAAGGTGACCTTGAAATTGTGGCGTTAAAGGCGATGCGAGACGAGGAAAAATTTGAGTGCACCTAAATTTTGTGCTGGTGCACCTAAATAAAAAAGTTAGGCGCACCAGTGCAACCTAGGCAAAAAGTTAGTCTGGAGCCCTGTTAAGGGTGCTCCGATTGATCGGTCGCCGATCATAATCGGCCGATGATTGCTTTGGGATGTGTGATCGGCGGTCTCTATAAAGGCCGATCAGAAAAGCCGATCAGATGACGCAAAACTCGCGAGACAATTTTTTTAATTTTTTGCCCTGGTAAAAATGGCTTCACTGGTCTGGCAATTCTACAAGGTGTGTGAAAAAACTATTCATTAGCAATCTGCAATGTGTGTACCATGCCGCGGCCGCTTGTCAAACT